GCTGTGGTCTTCAATTCGGTGGCGTGAAAATGTGCTGATTCCGGGACACCAAGGTACCTGTAGGACTCCTCCGCCTGCAGCTTAGCAATGGCGTGACCCTGGAGTGTCTGGAGAGCAGACTGCTGATCGCTCCGGGCTCTTCCCCGTTTCATGGTGAGCCAGCTAGACTTTGATGGGTTGAATGACATACCAATGCAGTCGCCCATGGACTCCACAACATTGGTCATGGAGAGCAGATTATTGTCGTTTCGGGCGAAGAGCTTCATGTCGTCCATGTACCACAGGTGCGATACAGGGCACACCTGGTTATTATTATTATTATTATTATTATTTAAATAGGCGTCGAGGCGACAATAGTTTTAGAATTGCGATCAACAGAACGAGCTGAACCGACATTTCACAAAGGCTTTTATTGTATTAACAAAACGAGTGGATACGAAGGCAGTGAAGAACATGGAAGAAAGAAAAATGTGATATGGAGAAAATGATGAACAAAAAATGGTACTTCGAACTAGTTTTCGCACAACACTCCTCAGGAAGCTACGTTGTACTAATGAAAAACAATCCAGGAAGATACTAATAAAGAGAAATGGAGTGAGAAGAAACAACACCTATGAAAATGATAATCCCAGCACTAAGGTAATAACAGGAAAAACTGCGAAAGCACTCAACGAACTTGTAAAGACTACTAGTATACTGTGACACAAGATATGACATCATGGCCAACCAGGGCCAAACAGACAGAACAAGCTGCTACTAGAACAATTTCAAACGAATAATGCTGTCCTTCTGGACACACAGATTAGGCTTATGAATACGTTGACAAACAGCTTCTAACACACTCAACTGCAACTTATAACCATGACGAGCACGGCACAAAACAGAAAAAGAAGAATCAGAATACACCTTGCAGCAATCAGGACGAGATACATGATGCTTATACACTGATGACTTCCTACTAGAAAACACACGCTCGCACCCACTCTTACTCACACAATCATTCTCGCTCTCACACTCACCGGACACACTGGACTCACTGGCCGAATCCTCCTCAACGACACCCTGCCTTGGAGCAATCAGGTCCCGTCTCCTCCCATCCCTTGTCTCACGCTCCTGTTGTGCATTCCGTTGGCTCTGTTCTTCCGTACTGAAATAGGTCATGGTGTAATTCGCAGTTGTTCTTCTGGGTCTCGTTGATATTGAGGTAGGCATTGTTGTCGTCTCTGCCGGTGATGCAGCAAGCGATGATGACGCAAACGTGTCTGCATGCAACACACGTGGCGTCGCCAAAGCCACATCCACCTCTGCTGGTGGAGGGAGTGACTTGGTCATGGCCCCGGGAGCCAATGGTGGACATGCCGAGTGGGACGCTAGGTCCCGTGTTGGCGGAGGTAGTGGTTGTTTACGGGGTCTTCCCCGCGTGGGACGCTCCAGTTGTGCGCTACGTGGGATAATGTGTAAAGGAGTGTGTTGCTTGATGCGTTCGCTCAGGTGCTGAACAGTCCTACCAACATACCGGCTAGCACAATTCCGGCATTCAAAGTTGTAGATTACATGACTTAAATGATGGGTTGGTAGGACGTCCTTCAACACCGTGAACGAACGCATCGTTGTGTAGACGGGTATGAAGTGTACCGCATAGTAGGTTTGTTTGATGATCGCACGAACTTCACGACTCACATTGTCAGACTTCTTGCCCTTCCATGGTAAGCACAGTGAGTCCAGTGAGTCCGGTGAGTGTGAGAGCGAGAATGATTGTGTGAGTAAGAGTGGGTGCGAGCGTGTGTTTTCTAGTAGGAAGTCATCAGTGTATAAGCATCTTGTATCTCGTCCTGATTGCTGCAAGGTGTATTCTGATTCTTCTTTTTCTGTTTTGTGCCGTGCTCGTCATGGTTATAAGTTGCAGTTGAGTGTGTTAGAAGCTGTTTGTCAACGTATTCATAAGCCTAATCTGTGTGTCCAGAAGGACAGCATTATTCGTTTGAAATTGTTCTAGTAGCAGCTTGTTCTGTCTGTTTGGCCCTGGTTGGCCATGGTGTCATATCTTGTGTCACAGTATACTAGTAGTCTTTACAAGTTCGTTGAGTGCTTTCGCAGTTTTTCCTGTTATTACCTTAGTGCTAGGATTATCATTTTCATAGGTGTTGTTTCTTCTCACTCCATTTCTCTTTATTAGTATCTTCCTGGATTGTTTTTCATTAGTACAACGTAGCTTCCTGAGGAGTGTTGTGCGAAAACCAGTTCGAAGTACCATTTTTTGTTCATCATTTTCTCCATATCACATTTTTCTTTCTTCCATGTTCTTCACTGCCTTCGTATCCACTCGTTTTTTTAATACAATAAAAGCCTTTGTGAAATGTCGGTTCGGCTCGTTCTGTTGATCGCAATTCTAAAATTATTATTATTATTATTATTTTGCTTGTTCGCGTTGGCATCAACCTGCATAAAGCAGGTATATAGCCTTCGGTTAAGCTGCCATAAAAAAAAAATCTCATCCTAAGCGAGAGGGCTAGAGGAAAATATAACGATAACGAGATACAGAATACAAAGAACTCCAATCAACATACAATTCAAAACAAGAAAGAAAGGAAAGAAAAACAGAGCCGAATCTACCGATTGATCCATCAATCGTCAAAAGGGGACTAATCCGTTAATGTTGCAAAGTAGAAGCTGATTGTAGTTGCAGATCTCCAGACCAGGGCCAGCATATTGCCGATTCTGGATATGTTTCCGCAGCATTTGATGTGGTAATTATCATAATGGTTGATACAATTGTTAGAGTATCTAGGGTATCTAGTATCTAGAGTATCTAGTGTGTTAGAGTATCTAGTGTAATTGTATCCGGTATTATTGTTTTAAAAGAGTATCGAGTGTAATTGTATAACTTCAGCCACTACACACAGCACACATTAGTTCCTTCCACTTTCGACGATCCTGGGCGAGCTGCCTCAGTGCAACTAGATCCTCGTGTGATGTGAGGGAGTTTGTGGATCTGGAATTTTTCAGGTCGTTGTTGATAGATCGCGGGAGGGTTGTTCTCGGGCGGCCTCAGAACTCTGAGCTTCCTGGTTGAAAGTATGCTGACGTAGCCTGCTGGACCGGGGATGAGGTGTCTAGTCGAAGCATGTGGCCAAGCATTCTCCACCTAGCAGACTGGATGATTCTGCTGAGTGGCTTGTGCGCTTGTACAGTGCTTCTTTGCGTATTGTACGGGGATATTTAACCCCTATGACTGCTCGTAACTGCTGGCGGTGGAACGAGTCAAGTTTCTTTTCTTGAGTCTATGTCAGGCTCCATGTTCCGCAGTTATAAAGAAGTATTGGGAGAATAAAGCTGCTGTATAACCTAGTCCGAAGGGGTTCACGGGCATGGTTACCTCCTAGCCATATCACCCACAGCTGATGTAAGACACATGTTGCTAGACGTTTTCTCCGACTGATATCTTCCTCCACTCCAAGCATCGATCCTAGTTTGACCGTGTTCCGCCATCGCTCGTCCACTCTGTCCTTTCCTTTTTTAATTGTAGTATATTCGGTTTTGGCTTCATTCATTTTTAAATTGTATTCCGCTAACGAGGATGATAGTATGGGTTGATTGTCGTGCAAATATTGTAGGCTGGTGCTGATGAAGTCTACGGCTTCCGCATACGCTGTTTCATTGGGCAATTGAAGCTGAATATCCAATGCTGGTCGCGGTGAGAGTCGCTCTCGAATCAACCTCAATGCAGCCTCGAGGTAGACAGTAAACAGGACTGGCGATAGAGAATCACCTTGTGGGGTTCCATTATGTGTGACTAATGGTTGGCTGAGAATGTTATTCAGCTTTACTTTTATTGTGGTGTCTGTCAGAAGGCACCGGATGATGTGCAGCTCATTATGATCAATGACTGATGACAGTATATCGATCAGCCTGACCCTTGATATAGTGTCAAATGCCTTTGACATATCAATGCCTAAGCTTGAGATCTCCATGAATCTTAGCAAAATTAATTGTCTCAATTTCCGTTGTGCGTGTCTTCCCAGGGCTATAGTGCCACTGCAATAGCACTCCAGCTGGTGAAAATCCCACGGGTGTGTTCCTCTTGCAAATAGCTTCACAAAATACCATGAGATTGTCGAAATTGATGAAGGGAAACTAAAGTTGTGGTCCAAACAGCTTCCATTTGTAGTGCTCACGGCGATTTTCCAGAAGGAATTAATTATCTGGCAGCTACTAGTATTGTGTATTGAATCCGATTAACGATTGGGGTATGGCAAGATGTTCAAAAAATCCGTATTGTGCTCGCCTTGGATAGATAAGGCGAGCGTTTTGGGGGGGGGGGGTGGTGGAGAATGCTCTCCCACCACTCTCCTTGAGAGGATAGCGACAGTGATTGTTCACTCTCCTGGATTTTTCTTACACGAAGGTCTGGATAGATCTCGCAGCCTTCCGGGGAAATGTGGGGAGATGGCCATAAAGAATACCGACTGCTGAGCTGGCCCGCTTTTCCAGACGCTGTAAATAGTGCGATGGCTTAAATTCGCTATTAAGTGGAACGCCAAGGGGCTTGTGACGAGAGGTTATAGATATTTTAAATAGGGTCATGGGAGAAATGAAACCTAAAGGTTTGAAATGTGCAACATCTGATGACGCCTTGGGGACGATATACATGATCTGCGTGTTCGGTGGAGTTCGGTTGGAGTTTCCACCTCCACATCCACTTGACCGCACAGTCTATTCCTACCTACATGTCTTGACACACGATGGGGAGCGACCAGTGAATAACCTGAAGAGTGCTGTAGTCCGCAAATAGCGAGGTGTTGGGAATTGCACCATTTACGTACATTAAAAAAAGCACGGGCCCCTAATCGATCCCTGGGGAAGTCAGAACACATGCGTTCAGGGTGGGGCAATTGACTATATCTACTTTCTGTGAGCGATTTTCCTGTTTTTGAATGAATTTGTGAGTGAAATTTTTGATTTTTGAGTCTTTGTTTTGGCATTCTGTCGTGTTTTTTTAGATGTTTGTGGTGCAGAGATTACATATGGAGGTAGCAGAGGGAATTTCTTCTGGCCAGATACTTCCGCAAATGAAACGAAGACACTAGTTTGTCCTGTGGGACTTGATAATAACACAATGCGCTTCGCGACCCGCCAGTGTGTATCGAAACCAAGAACTATGACGCTGAACATGGCATCCTGGGGAGCAGCAGACATCACGAATTGTCCAACACCAAGCACGGCGAAGCTACAGGCATTGTCTAAGGTAGGCAAGCATAAGCAATACATTAGTACTCCTAATCCTCTTATGTTATAAATTTTGGTTGTTGGGTTCCATACATTGCGATACCCTAGCGATAACGAACCAGAATGATACACAAAACGAGGAAAAACTAGACCCCGAATGTAGCAGATATGAAGAGGTTGGTGTCGCAGAGGAGGAGAGACAAAAGACTAGAATGTAGGTAGAACACACTTACATCAAATACACCTCAAATAATTGTGCGAAAGAAGGCAATGCTAGGAAATTGAGCAAAGCATGACATTGATTAACAACACTAGAACGCATAAATGTGTAGAGTTGCAATATGCAAAACACATTCAAGTATGCAGCACACAGAGAGAGTCGGTAATACTGAATCCTTTGCGTCTCTGTGTTTTCACTGTTTTTATTTGACATTATCTTTCTTTATGGAGTTGTTGTTGCTGTTCGTTTTGCTACTCTTTCTTTTTCCCTTCCCCTTATTTCTATTTATCGCCGTGGTTGGCAATCACCCACTCTCGTAACATTGGCCGGTGTTTCCGCCGAGTCTTGAGATGTTGTAATAAATAATAATAATAATAATAATCTTCACTAGTTTGAGGGAAAGAGACAAACGGGAAAAGTCTGCAGAAAAAATTGACTGTCACCACCAGGACTCAAACCAGGGACCCTCGCTTGTAGCTAGCGATGCTCTAACCACTGAGCTATGGTGTAGTCGTCATCCCAGCAGAGACTGTTCAACATTTTCTTCAGACTTCGTAGCTCACACTTCCTGTGAATCCACACAGGCGGGTGGATAATAATAATAATAATAATAATAAAGAAAGGTTTGCTCCCCACACCGGAGCTCGCGCTATTCCGCCGACTTTACTTGACACTTGACTGACTCACGACTGCCATCCAGAGCACACGAGAAGTCCAACGAACCTTCGACTGGGCAAACCTGCAAGAAAGCACCACTCCCTGCTCAATACACAGTGTTTCGGGGAATTCACCCCTCATCAGTTGAGCTTGAGTAGGCTGAGGAAGATTGTGCCTGAAGAGCACCACTTATATAGCACAATCTTCCTCAGCCTACTCAAGCTCAACTGATGAGGGGTGAATTCCCCGAAACACTGTGTATTGAGCAGGGAGTGGTGCTTTCTTGCAGGTTTGCCGAGTCGAAGGTTCGTTGGACTTCTCGTGTGCTCTGGATGGCAGTCGTGAGTCAGTCAAGTGTCAAGTAAAGTCGGCGGAATAGCGCGAGCTCCGGTGTGGGGAGCAAACCTTTCTTTCTTACAAAATCATCGCCGAAGTCGCAACCACTACTTCGTAATAATAATAATAATAATAATAATAATAATAATGATAATAGTTAAAGCACCTATTTGCAGAAAATAATAATATTATGATCGTAATATTAATCACTTGCCAATAACAAAGACAACAATAATACCATCAGCCCCCATTCACCGGTTTTGACGGTGCTTCACTGATGTTGAATGAGAAGAATTATATTGCTGCCTTCAGTGCTATTGTGTCGCTGAAGGGCTCGATTTCAGATTTGATGACGGTTACTTTTCAACGGATTTTGTTTTCTGATTTAGCTCTCTTGCTATTACTGTACCTGCTTGTGTTAAGTCTCATTCTCGCAGATTAGTTGTATAATAGATTGTACATGCATCATTGTAGATTTGCTGTTCACAGTATTTCTCTCTTTTTTCTTTCTTTTTCTCAGTCTTCCTTATTACATTTTCTTCACATACAACAGCAGTACTCCCCATGGTCTTAAATGACCCGGGATGCTGCATAATACAAACACAAAACCAATAAAGCCACCCCCATAATAATAATCACCCCGTTGGGGACAGTTTAGCTTTTTGGAGCTCTGGTTGCTGACCGCCCTTGGGCTTGCAACTCGCTTCAATATTCTTTCAATTTTAGCCCCTTTCTCTAATATATTATTCCGTGCTGCTTACCTTTGGCTATGATAAGTCCGGTGAGTTAGTGTAATACCTCCAATTTTTATTTTTATTTTCAATTTGGAGTGGAATAAAGACTCATAATAATAATAATTAAAAAGCTTCCGTGGAGATAAAAATGTAATCAACGCAATAAATAGAGTAAGCTGCGCACTCAGTACAAACACCATAAGCAACACTTGTTTTCATGTTTAAAGAAGCTTGTTCCTAAACGTTTTCGTCGCCATCTCATCAGAGGATTACTGGCAAATCAACAAAAGCTCTTAACTCAATATATATACGCACAATGCAAGTAATAATTTAGACCCTAACTAGCGCGATAAAATGAGAGCTGAAAGAAACATTACACCATTCAACGATATCATGTGACAACAGATGCGATAAATTCACCACTAGAAAGTTACCATGCAAACACAAACGAGAACTACTGATCTAAATTCACAAACAATTTCAACGTAAACAAATTCTTTTTCTGCCTACACAAAATCGGCTTGGTGGTAAAAATGTAAATAGACTCCAATACACGCAAATACCTTTGACTACGTGAACGAGACCAAACAGAAAAGCAATCATCAGCAAAACTAGAACGACAATCACTATTCTGAACAAGATGGTTGGCGATAGAAGATTCATACACCCTAACAACGCTACTAGAACCAGTACATACTTTGGAATTACGTGACAATGAAACCGACCTGACATTCCTTGCCGCTACTGCCAATCCAGACGAGGCCGATGTAGATGTCAGTACCAAAGGCACGTCCGTTACTGGCACTGCCTGCTGCGATGATGCTCCCTTTGACGTTCCAATGGCTGTTGATGTTGATGAAGAGGAGGAGGGAGATGAGGAAGACGCTGAAGACGACGATGACGACAACGACGGAGACGATAAAGACTCTGCTAACCTCGCCCTAGAGCGAGTCACTGGTCCCGCAGACACACCATCCGGTGGTTTCTTCGGTGGCCGGCCACCCTTTTTGCCACCGGAGGTGGACACACCGGATGACGGTACCAAGGAAGTCAAAGAAGACGAAACCGCAGATACCAACGATGATGACGGGATAGAAGGAAGAGACGGTAAAGACGAAGGCAATGACGAACAAGCCGATGGCGACGAAGAAGACAACGACACCCCAGTTGGTTCCGTCCCCAGCGAGGGTGCACCTCCAGTCGCAGTACCAATCTTTGGGGGACGACCTCATCTAGGCCTTGACGACCGTGCCTCAACAGGCATAACGTGAAGAGGCACATGCTGGTGAAACCGTGCCTCCAGGTGCTGAAGGGTCCTACCCACATACCGGCTCTGACATTGCCGGCACTCGAAGTTGTAAATAAGATGTGATAATTTAAGAGTGGGAATCTTCTATCGCCAACCATCTTGTTCAGAATAGTGATTGTCGTTCTAGTTATGCTGATGATTGCTTTTCTGTTTGGTCTCGTTCACGTAGTCAAAGGTATTTGCGTGTATTGGAGTCTATTTACATTTTTACCACCAAGCCGATTTTGTGTAGGCAGAAAAAGAATTTGTTTACGTTGAAATTGTTTGTGAATTTGGTTGGTTGGTTTTTATTTCACTCACAATTTAGATCAGTAGTTCTCGTTTGTGGTTGCATGGTAACTTTCTAGTGGTGAATTTATCGCATCTGTTGTCACCTGATATCGTTGAATGGTATAATGTTTCTTTCAGCTCTCATTTTATCGCGCTAGTTAGGGTCTAAATTATTACTTGCATTGTGCGTATATATATTGAGTTATGAGCTTTTGTTGATTTGCCAGTAATCCTCTGATGAGATGGGAACGAAAACGTTTAGGAACAAGCTTCTTTATTTACATTAAAACAAGTTTTGCTCATGGTGTTTGTACTGAGTGCGCAGCTTACTCTATTTATTGCGTTGAATAATAATAATAATAATAATAATAATCAGTCAATATTTTATGACTTGGGGCTCCCCGCGTGCTAGTTTGTACGTGAAGTGTGTGGGTTACAGTGAGGGCTGCGTCCCATCCGCCTGTGTGGATTCACAGGAAGTGTGAGTTACGAAGTCTGAAGAAAATGTTGAACGGCCTCTGCTGGGATGACGACTACACCATAGCTCAGTGGTTAGAGCATCGCTGGCTACAAGCGAGGGTCCCTGGTTCGAGTCCTGGTGGTGACAGTCAATTTTTTCTTCAGACTTTTCCCGTTTGTCTCTTTCCCTCAAACCAGTCAATATTTTATGACTTGGGGCTCCCCGCGTGCTAGTTTGTACGTGAAGTGTGTGGGTTACAGTGAGGGCTGCGTCCCATCCGCCTGTGTGGATTCACAGGAAGTGTGAGTTACGAAGTCTGAAGAAAATGTTGAACGGCCTCTGCTGGGATGACGACTACACCGTAGCTCAGTGGTTAGAGCATCGCTGGCTACAAGCGAGGGTCCCTGGTTCGAGTCCTGGTGGTGACAGTCAATTTTTTCTTCAGACTTTTCCCGTTTGTCTCTTTCCCTCAAACCAGTCAATATTTTATGACTTGGGGCTCCCCGCGTGCTAGTTTGTACGTGAAGTGTGTGGGTTACAGTGAGGGCTGCGTCCCATCCGCCTGTGTGGATTCACAGGAAGTGTGAGTTACGAAGTCTGAAGAAAATGTTGAACGGCCTCTGCTGGGATGACGACTACACCATAGCTCAGTGGTTAGAGCATCGCTGGCTACAAGCGAGGATCCCTGGTTCGAGTCCTGGTGGTGACAGTCAATTTTTTCTTCAGACTTTTCCCGTTTGTCTCTTTCCCTCAAACCAGTCAATAATAATAATAATAATAATAATAATAATAATTTGAAACTCGGATGTTGAGCCATAAATAAATGTGGAAGAGAAAAGGACATATGGATACGGTTAAGAGCCTTCCCCTCTTTGGTCTTTTCCATAACCTTGAACCTTCCAAGTTGGAAGGCTGTCGGTTAGCGCTACGGAGATGTGTTAAAGCTAGGTGTCAGGACGTCGAATGTTTCAGTACTCTGTCAGTTTTGTGCCTAGTTATTGCACTTTCTGACTGTATATAGTATCATGTTACAGTGATGGAGAGTTACTCTTAACTCGTATCCATATGTCCTTTTCTCTTCCACAATAATAATAATAATAATAATAATAAATAATAATAATTGCTCCCCACACCGGAGCTCGCGCTATTCCGCGGACTTTACTTGACACTTGACTGACTCACGACTGCCATCCAGAGCACACGAGAAGTCCATCGAACCTTCGACTCGGCAAACCTGCAAGAAAGCACCACTCCCTGCTCAATACACAGTGTTTCGGGGAATTCACCCCTCATCAGTTGAGCTTGAGTAGGCTGAGGAAGATTGTGCCTGAAGAGCACCAGTTATATAGTGCTCTCCAGGTACAAACATCACCAGGGATACAAACTTACAGAGACGCTCCGCTTCCAGCGCGATAAACACCTCGTGAACACCAGATAGCAGCGTGAGTCAGTGTCGCTCCTGGACGGTGAGACCAGACGTTGAGGACCCTCGGTCATTCGCAACGCTGTCACCTCCAAACCAACTAGTCGAAAGCCCGCGCTGGGCACAACAGTACGAAGTAGTGGTTGCGACTCCGGCGATGATTTGTAAGAATGGGTTTGCTCCCCACACCGGAGCTCGCGCTATTCCGCCGACTTTACTTGACACTTGACTGATTCAGGGCTGCCATCCAGAGCACACGAGAAGTCCATCGAACCTTCGACTCGGCAAACCTGCAAGAAAGCACCACTCCCTGCTCAATACACAGTGTTTCGGGGAATTCACCCCTCATCAGTTGAGCTTGAGTAGGCTGAGGAAGATTGTGCCTGAAGAGCACCACTTATATAGTGCTCTCCAGGTACAAACATCACCAGGGATACAAACTTACAGAGACGCTCCGCTTCCAGCGCGATAAACACCTGAACACCAGATAGCAGCGTGAGTCAGTGTCGCTCCTGGACGGTGAGACCAGACGTTGAGGACCCTCGGTCGATGGACCGAGGGCGATGGACTTCTCGTGTGCTCTGGATGGCAGTCGTGAGTCAGTCAAGTGTCAAGTAAAGTCGGCGGAATAGCGCGAGCTCCGGTGTGGGGAGCAAACCCTTTCTTACAAATCATCGCCGAAGTCGCAACCACTACTTCGTAATAATAATAATAATAATAATCAACGCAATAAATAGAGTAAGCTGCGCACTCAGTACAAACACCATGAGCAAAACTTGTTTTAATGTAAATAAAGAAGCTTGTTCCTAAACGTTTTCGTTCCCATCTCATCAGAGGATTACTGGCAAATCAACAAAAGCTCATAACTCAATATATATACGCACAATGCAAGTAATAATTTAGACCCTAACTAGCGCGATAAAATGAGAGCTGAAAGAAACATTATACCATTCAACGATATCAGGTGACAACAGATGCGATAAATTCACCACTAGAAAGTTACCATGCAACCACAAACGAGAACTACTGATCTACAAACAATTTCAACGTAAACAAATTCTTTTTCTGCCTACACAAAATCGGCTTGGTGGTAAAAATGTAAATAGACTCCAATACACGCAAATACCTTTGACTACGTGAACGAGACCAAACAGAAAAGCAATCATCAGCATAACTAGAATAACTAGAAAGAATTTGTTTACGTTGAAATTGTTTGTGAATTTAGATCAGTAGTTCTCGTTTGTGGTTGCATGGTAACTTTCTAGTGGTGAATTTATCGCATCTGTTGTCACCTGATATCGTTGAATGGTGTAATGTTTCTTTCAGCTCTCATTTTATCGCGCTAGTTAGGGTCTAAATTATTACTTGCATTGTGCGTATATATCTTGAGTTAAGTGCTTTTGTTGATTTGCCAGTAATCCTCTGATGAGATGGCGACGAAAACGTTTAGGAACAAGCTTCTTTATCTACATGAAAACAAGTTTTGCTAATGGTGTTTGTACTGAGTGCGCAGCTTACTCTATTTATTGCGTTGATTACATTTTTATCTCCACGGAAGCTTAATAATAATAGTAATAATAAGTGCTTTCATTTAAACCACAAAAAAAAAGTTGTTTCGCGATCTCAACTTCTTCAGTGATCTTGGGAGAGGGAGCGAGGATGATAAATAGGAGGACAGAAAAAGGGGAAGAAATGATAACCTCGCATTAATTGTATTTCCTTAGTGACAGCATCTGGTCATGTGGAACACACAAGGTACGAACTTCAAGAATGGAAATGTTCAAGAAATTGACTATCATAGTTGAACCAGTAGGCGTCACCCCTGAGATCAATTGCAAAAGAGCATAATCATGCGTTTCGGAGACAGCAGTAATTAATATAGCTACAAGGAGGAATAATTGTACAGTAAGTATTTCCCATACAATGTATGTAGATACATAAGTGGGTATACCCAGGTTTCAGTGCTCAACACCACAGGGGCGGAGAGTAACCACAAACGTCAAAAAGAATGGTTCCACCAATTATATATACATATGGCATTGTCTGATGATTGCCTTAGCATTTAGCTACGTGCATGAAATGCAGCGTTATAACGTATATTATATATATATATATACTCAATCTGCGGACAGAACTGTTTCGTCCTTTGTGGACTCGTCAGCGCAGCACAGAGGAACTGAGGCCGAATATATATATATATATATTATTAAAAGCATGTCCGCGTAGGTGGCGGGGGTGCCACTTTCGCTTATGCCATTCAGGATTGATGTCTGAAGAGTAATACGATACAATGAAATGACAGAAGTGACGTCAACAAAAGCCGTTAGCAACAACACCAATATGACTAATGGAAAACTTCATCCAAAGTATAAAATAAAATAGAATATGCATACAACAATCATGTCTGGTCAGTCCTATAATTGGTGGAAAACCACTGTATGTCCATCACAAATCCAACCACCCACCAATCAACATCCAGAACTTGCCCTCTTCCATCAGCTGACGACTAACGGAGTGATAGTCAGGGATTTTTTTTCAGCGGTGGTATCATTATTATTTTTGAGGAGCAAAATAGAGAGATATTGGATAGTGAGACAGGTGCCAGCTATTGCGTGCCTGGTAAAATCATTTTAGCGACTTTGAATAGCGAATACTGTGGCTTAGCATTCACTTTCTAGGGGTCACCAGCCATTTTTTCTGGTCTGTGATATGGGTCGCCAACCTCAAGGATACGATGGTGTTTGGATATGTACTCCATGTTCAGTTAGTTCTACAATAACGGTCGTGATTTGAGTGATTTGGACTGCTTTAGTAGCATATATATGTGGTATATCTCAATGTCTCTGCTACACTGTACAGATTGAGTACAACAGCAGTGAACCCGAGTACCTTTTGAACAGCTCCCTCGCTATTACCATCATCACAAACAATACTAAAGTAACAAGTGATGACATCGATTTTGCCTCTCTAGCTATTTCAAAGATCGTGGAAGCTCTCAGCTCAGATGAACTATTCAACCAAACAATTGGAAGACAGGTATAGTTCTTGGTATATTTTCTCTTTGTGTTCTTCTAGTGATGTATTGCTTTTCACATTGCCATTAGTGATGGCACGACGGCCTGACCTCGTCCAATGGCTCTACGGAAGAAATTCCTTGCCCTGCTCGTCCATTAATGGGCTAATGTTAAAGATATTTACACCAAATTGTAACACACACACCAGCATTTATACCGACGTGGCACGGAAAAGGTGTTGACCTTCAATCATTCCAGTGAGTCGAGAGAGTGAGTTGAAGAGAAAGCAACACAATATAAAGGGCCTGGGTAGCTATTGCAAACATGGACACTCAAGTAGCTACCCAGGCCAAATGAATAATGCATGAACTAATGAATTTGAACTAATTACTTGTGGGCCTAACAAAGGAAATAATATACGCCATACCTTCCGGACACTTTTGATCTACGATCAACCGGCTCTCATTTGCCACCACCTGTGATTAGATACAGCCATCTAAAGCAGAGAAACAGTCAGAACAAAATCAAATTTTACACATGCCACATGTTAAAAGTAGCCAAATTCACCTCGTATTGAAGTGACTTCTAAAATTATTTTGCACATCCATAGTCACCCACCCGGTTTTAGCAAGATGACTGCTACAAAATGCAAAATAGAGAATGAGGTTCGAAGTCTAAAATGATTCTATGATCTGCAGATGCCCATGTGACCCTAGTAGTTTCAATTTCCAGTGCTAAAACTAAGTACTTGCTTGTATGTTTCCGCTCTATTAGATTGCTCTTTCTACTTTCGACACCGTAAATTTCATTTTGGATCTGAAAACGAATGAAACAGTGGTTGCCACATCACCTGCAAGGAGGTATGAAGACACTCATTTCGTATTCCTTTGAAACAAACTCTGCATTATGATCAATAAGCAGTTCGGTACAACTAAAGTTTATCGTGAAGTTAGTAAATTGTTAACAACCGACGTGGAGACAACGTAAATACTTGTATAGCTATTATGAACTTTAAGAGAAGTATCTAAGATGTGAATACTACCCTATTCACTTCCTTTTGTGTATCTCTTGCGTACTACGCTCTGCACATTCTGGGCATTTGAACACTATTGCAGGTTAAGGCGCACAGCGTCTGTGAATACCACTTGAAAGCATAACCTAGGATGCAATTTGAAGTACATTGTGCTTCTTCCAGAACTGGAGTTTTCATGTTACACTCATTAGGGGATGTGACGGGAATGGTCTTAGAGACTGCTTCTCCCATTCCCTTTGGCCTTCCAATCATATAATAAATAGCACTCTTTGCCGTGCTGCCTTCTTTCTACATACGCATGTACACTGTTGATCTCCGAGCTGCAGAGAGTGCTCAATGTCACTGACAGCACGTGAAATGAACATCATCTTTCACGCCCAGAAATTACTCCTATTCCATCTTTCACGCCCCTGGATGAAGGACAAGGGCGATATGTTTGAGCAGCTCCTCCGTCAGGCCTTATCGTTCGCGGAGCAATTCACCACGATCAAGCCGCGTGAAATGGACATCATCTTTTACCCCCGGAAATCACTCCTATTCCATAATGGCTGCCCCTGGATGAAGGACAAGGGCGACATGTTTCACGTAACAGTGGGAAGTTACGATGGCGCCGAAACGTGCGAACTTGTGGGTGCCTTTCTTCTACTTTTTCAGTTCGATCACAGGTCTTGACCGGACCAAGTGTATGGAACCTTGATGTGTCATTTAGGATAACGGACATCTTCTCGATGTAGTCAGTTTTATTCATTAAAACAGTTGCACGACCCTTATCAGGGCGCGTGACAATAATCTCTTTGTTATTCCGTAGCTCAAGCAGGGCTTTGAGATGTTCGCGTTTCAATGAAAACGTTCTTCTATCCGGTAATGCGTCAGCGTGTTCCTCGGCCTCTGCCCGGATCTTTGCGGCGCAAATGGACTGTTGTGACTCGGACACCGGTCTGAAGCGTAATAACTTGCGGTAAAAGAGCTCGAACTCAGTCATGATGACTTCCTTCTTGTTTGATTTTGGTGGAATCCCGAAATCGGTTCCACGACAGAGGAGCTCTTTCTGAAGAGTGGTCAACTCTAGTGATGTCATGTTAATTATGGTGGTTTCAGGATCGATGGTGACATGCCCATATCTTTTCTGTCTTAGCCAATTGCAGGTCTTGTCGTGTTTCGTGATTAGATTGAACGAAAACTTGTTCGAATCATCTTTTTTCCATTCCCTTTTCTTCTTACATGTATTTTTTCTTACCCTTTAGGTTGTTTCTTGCATTGTCTCCATCGCTTACATTGTTAATAAAGTAATCCAAATGTCACTTCAGCTCGTCCTACTTATTGCCTACTTATTGCCTACTTATTGCCGTATTAAAATTATTATTATTTCTGACTGTATATAGTATCTAGTTACAGTGGTGGAGAGTTACTCTTAACTCGTTTCCATATGTCCTTTTCCTTTCTATTTTTATTATTTGCTCAATACCCGAGTTTCAAAATTATTATTATTATTATTATAAGTACACAAGAGAGAGATTGGAAGCTTTGTCAAAACTCTGAGTTTCACGTATTACTACGACAGTAGTATAGTGCCGTAGGGGTTCTGATCCAAAAGTGACCTTTGACCCCTGGCTGCCAAATAAGGAAGAATAGTCCATATATGGCAGATGACCTTTGACCTTTGAGTTGACCTTTGACCTTTGAGGTACCATATAAGGCAGAATAGTCCATATATGGAAGATGTCATTTGACCTTTGACCTTTGGTGTTGACCTTTGACCTTTCCATATAAGGATGAATAGTCCATATATGGAAGATGACCTTTGACCTTTGGTGTTGACCTTTGACCCTTCCATATAAGGATGAATAGTCCATATATGGAAGATGACATTTGACCTTTGACCTTTGCTGTGACCTTTGACCTTTCCAAATACGGATGATTGGTCCATAGAAGGAATGTGACCTTTGACCTTTGGGATTGACCTCTGTGCTTGATAGAAGTGTCCTTATAAGGGAGGTGCACGTGGTTCAGGTCATATAAGGCATCTTCCATAGTGGGGAGAAGTGTCCTTATAAGGAAGTTGTACACGGATGACGTCATATAAGGCATGTGCCATAGTGGGGTGAAGTGTCCTTATAGGGAAGGTGTACACGGATAATGTCATAGAAGGCATGTGCCATAAAGGGGTGAAGTGTCCTTATAGGGAAGGTGTACACGGATGATGTCCTATAAGGCATATTCCATAGTAGGGTGAAGTGTCCTTATAGGGAAGGTGTACATGCTGTAGTTTTTAAATAAGGCATATTCCATAGTGGGTGGAAGATGCCTTATATGGCATGCGTATCCTGGCCAGGTCATAGTAGGCATGCAGTTGAAACAATCATTGAGGTCCTTTCTGTCTGAGGCTTTGAAGAAAAGAAGCATCATGTAACAAAGCTGGGTTCGTACCCGCAACCTCTCGTACGGAAGGCATGAACTGTACCAAACGACCAGGACGACTACACACAAGACCCAAGGCTCAAATCGCCTATTTATACCCGGACCGTAAAGAAGAAAAAACGCATCATGTAACAAAGCTGGATTCGTACCCGCAACCTCTCGTACTGAAAGCACCAACTGTACCAAACCACCACGGACGACTATGCATAAGAGGGAAGGCTCAAATTGACTAGTTATACTAGGACGTATACATACATGTACATCCTCAGAACACTCGTTAACTATAATGTAGGGAATAAAAGAGGCAGAATGAATTGGCTACAAAAAAAAAGTAACCCACACATACACACGCGCGCATGCGCGCACTCTGAAGCAACTGAATATACCATATATCATCTATCAAATAAATGAGGCAGACACACATACACACACACACATACACATACACACACACACACACACACACACACACACACATACACACGCGCGCGTGCGCGCACTCTCAAGCAACTGAATATCCCATACATCACCTATTAAATAAATGAGACACACACACACACACACACACACACACACACATACACACGCGCGCGTGCGCGCACTCTCAAGCAACTGAATATCCCATACATCACCTATTAAATAAATGAGACACACACACACACACACACACACACACACACACACACATACACACGCGCGCGTGCGCGCACTCTCAAGCAACTGAATTTACCAAGTCACTTAGGGATTAGCCGATGGCCGTAGGCTAAAGTTGTGATCCCATCATCAGCAATGTACCTTTTAGAATCAAAAGGAGACAGTGCCGTTTTCTTCATAGTCTGACCATAAATGTGGTGATGGTCACTTCGAAGACTTGGCATTGCTCTTGATATCGATGCCCCCTCCGTCAGGCACCTTCTGTAGTCTTCAATCGTCACCGTATCTCGCAACACATTCGTCTTCACTCCTTTTGCACGTTTGCCGCTTTCTTCGCCGTCGTAGGCATACATTTTCGAACTGCCGAAAAAAAAAAAAAGAAAAAAGAAGAGAAGAAAGAAAAATAGCATTTAATAGAAAATCTTTCAAACCCCCCAAAAAAGAAAAAAAAGGCATTCTTATACCGAAATACATCGTGCACGACAGAGAGAGAGAGAGAGAGAGAGAGAGAGAGAGAGAGAGAGAGAGAGAGAGAGAGAGAGAGAGAGAGAGAGAGAGAGAGAGAGAGACAGAGTGAAAGAGACTTTAACTCACCGCAATCCGACAAATTCCGTGAGAAGTTTCCCGCCCATCTCATCCTTGAATTTTCCCAGCACTTTCTTATTTTTTCTGTGTGGAGTGGGTGATCAGCCTTGAAGTTCGAGGTGTCGTAGTGATGTAGGTCTGTCATCATATCGTCCTGCATGCTCTGGGTCTGAATCTCAATGATCACACTATCAGTATCAGTGTAGAGCAGACGAATATCCTCACCATACCTCTTCTTCAGTACATGGTAGTAGAATGAAAACATGAGACACTTAGATAGGTCTAGAACACTCATGCCAACGTAAACCGGCTTATCCAACCGGACGCTCACTCGGTGGCTGAAGAGCGATATGAAAAGAAAGAAGAAACAAACACAAACACATACACACACACACACACACACACACACACACACACACACACACACACACACACACACACATACGCACATAGGTGAACACCTGCTTGAATAGTATTCTTAAAGATGAAAAATATGAAAAAGAAAGAAGGAACTACAAGTTGGTGTAAGCATTATAAATATTCAATAAAGATCTAGTTTTTTCTTTCAGATGCATCAGAAATCCTCACCTACACACCCCCAGAAGATCCTTGTCGTAGATAACGACACGGTCGAAACTAGGCTTAGCGACAGCTTTCAAGAGCCGGTGTTTCTCGTCTTCGGCTCTCATCAGATTCAAATTGACACGTTTCCTAACGTTCTCCATAGTCTTCCCGAATACTGCATTATTTAGCAACTGCAGTTGACACACACACACACACACACACACACACACGGAGAACAAAACTATTTTAGAAAAGCAGCATCAAAGAGAGAGAGCGAGATAGAGAGAGAGAGAGAGAGAGAGAGCGAGAGAGAGTTAGCGAGAGAGAGAGAGAGAGAGAGAGAGAGAGAGAGAGAGAGAGAGAGACAGAGACAGAAAGACATGCAGAGAGCACCCACCTTATACAAGTCTTTCTCGAAATCACTTGACGCCTGTTTTCTAAGCTCCGTATTCTTGCGGATGTAAGGCTCCATCCAAGGCTCTTGTTGGAACGATAGCACTTGACTCACACTAGTCACCTTCAGACCAAGCTCGATATACAGCTGGAGGTTTCTATAATGTAGTACATAGCTGGCTTTGTTGCATAAGTTTGGTACGAGCTTTGGCACGTTCAACCCCGTCACCTATACGGCATCACATGAGATAAAGAAAAGAAAAAGAAAAGACCCATCAGCACATGAACTCACGCGCATACATCATATATCCTGTATCATATCCAGGCAACAGACGTACAAACAACCTCAGTCATGAAAGCTATATAGTATCGATACAGTAGCACACGCACACACACACACACACACACACACACACACACACACACACACACACACGCACACACAACTATTTTACCTTCAACTTCTCAATCAATGTCCGCTGATATGGCGACATCATGTCTTCCGTCACAATCATTCGCTCTGGTGCTGGTGGATAATCGTTCAGATAGTCATGAACCTCCTCTGGCACGACTAGATCAACTTGCAGGAAGTAGCCGCGAGGTGAATCTATCGGTGACTTCAGGATAGTGTCCAGGAGTTCCTCTGTGGGCTCTTCCCACTGGAAGTCGGACACGGGCAAGTGCTGGGACATGGCCCAGCCATAGAGATTATTAGCATCTAAATACTGGATGTATGTCGTTGGTTTCGAATCATCGTATTCTTTCACTTCAGGGTTGTTCGCCCTGACATGACGGTGACTGACCATGCTGATTCCTCCTCGCATTCCACTTTCGACAAAGTTATGCATATCCACGTCTGTTAGTAGCTCCGACGACGTTTTTGTTGTCTTCAGCAAGGCATCCCATGCAAACCCAGGGAGCGTGAAATAATGTACGGGGTCCAACCCGTATGTCTCAAGAGCCATATCCCTGAAATGTTCGAAAACATCGCAGAGCAGAAGTACATCTGAAACATAAACACACACACACACACACACACACACACACACACACGCACACACATACATACACAGAAGCAGATCATCTTTTTTAGTCTCCATGTCTTAAACAAGCCATGGGCGACCTATTTTCCAAGAGTCCTGGAATCAGGGTCTATATCAAACCTGTAAAGTATCAACTGGATCACAGGTGACTCTGTACTATATTTTCAACCCGGTCCAATCACCACCCAGCCGAGTCAATTACCCGGCTCACCCACCTCTGGAGCAGATACTGGGTAAGTGGAGAAGTAGACTATGACAACAAACAATTTTTTTTTTCAAAATAATCGGTATTGTAATCGCTATTGTACTCTCACCTGTTGTCAAGTACAGATCATGATAATCTCCAAAGTTGTTGCAGTTGAAAACATCCCACACACTCCTGGCATGTGCATACTCATCATCGCTGACTCCCTGGATTTATACACATACGCACATACACATATACAGACACACGCACGCACGCACGCAAACACAGATGTGCGCATACACAGAGCCATATCAATATTCAAAGACCAGTCCATGGATAGGAACAAAGAACGACCACCAAACAAGAGAGCAGAGAAAAAGCAGGAAAAACCAAGTATCTTAGTTCATATGAAAACTTAATAATCTTTACCTTTCCAGAAAGAGTCGAGTGAAATGCTTCTTTCGGTGGTAAGGATAGCTCTTCGAAAGTGTCGAATGATGTGACATGTTCATATGGGTACACTCCTTTTCTCATCACCAGGGCGCGCTGCTCAGCTTGAGTAAAGTAGGCCTCTGTATGATGAAATGCATCCGTCGGAGTGGACTGTACGAGTTTGTCCAATGATGCATTCAGAAATGCTAGACTATCAAGGAATGTGAACTGACGCCACGTAAATGCAATATACTTCTCCGTGTTGGATGGAATTACATCAATCTTGCCGAGGTGTCTCGTCTAATTTTCAAAAAACAAGAAAGAAAGAAAAAACAACACGAGAAGAAGGACAAGCATGAGGTTGAGAGAAAGGTTTTTGATGAATGTCATCAAGAGCAACAACCATGAGAATAAGGAATTTTTTTCCAGCACAAAGGTATTCAATCAACTTACACGAATGCGTCCTTTACTGTCCGGATACGTTACAATGTCCGTCGTAGTCTTTCCGAGAGTTGATATGATGTGGTGAGCATCATAACCCTTGAGGTTGTGAAAGATGACTGGGATTCTAATCGTTTGAGGGCAAATTCTAAGTCTCAAGTTGCATCTATTATGAGCAGCTCCACGAAATTCACCCGTGATATGATCATGATCGGCCACACGATCGGCCAGGAGAGGCTCATCGCAAATCCAGCAATTACCAGCTTCTTGGAACTGTTGTCTCTGCGCTTCAGTCATAGTCATAGGTAGAGGAGTGGATAAGTCATCTCTGATAGTTTCCTCATCACTTTCTAGCTCGAGGAGAAATCGTTCAATTGCATCAACGCCTGAGATGCACAAAAGCACATGCACGAACAAATACACACACACACACGCGCGCACGCACACGCACGAACACACACGACCGCACGAACACACGAATGCATACACACACACACACACAGATCATTTGATCATTAACCATTTAACACCCATCGTCGGAGGTGATGATAGCGATGCTACAGCAGAGAGAGAGAGAGAGAGAGAGAGAGAGAGAGAGAGAGAGAGAGAGAAAGAGAGAGAGAGAGAGAGAGGCAAAAGAACATAAAGAAATAATGTTACCTCTGTAGAAGAAGCGTTTCGTTTGAAGTCCATCAGATCTGACAATGACATAACTGATTGAACACGGATGATGTTCGCTTTCACGCACCGTCTTTGCACCATGCTGGGTGTGAGGTATGATCGGAGTAATCAACGACTCACAATCTGCATAGATGACCTAGGATAGTAGTGTTCACATCACATCACATCGCATCATACACCCACACACACACACGCACACGCACACACACGCGCGCACACACACAAACACACACACACACACGCACACACACACACAAGAATCTGTGTTTGTAACCACATCAATTGCACTGGAAAGTGTCCATCTATATCAAGAACATATCTAGGGATTATAATGTACTTGCATGTCTATACTATGTGCATGTTGACTCAAGGAACTAGATGATACTAAACAATAGCACATGCAAGGCTTTAAAGAATAACTTACATAGGGGCATTTCAGTTGCTTGTGATAATTCTTGAAGCAAACGTGTTCGCCTTTCTCTGGCAATATCGTCCTTGCAATGTGATGATTCGAGCAATAATTGAGATGCTTGGCCAGCATTTCCTCAGAACCATGGCCCGATAGGCAGCGCATACAGTAGTGTGTTTGACTGTTATACTTGGTGCGATCAGAACACAGGCTGTTGAAGTTCTTGATCCATACCCAATGTCTTTTCGTGCCACTACTTATCAACATCAGGTTCACAGCTAGTTCCGGGCTTTTGCTTAGTTGCAGAGGATACACCTTTTCATCATCGTCCACCCCGAACACATTGATGAGCAGCCCATTCATCTTCTCTACCTGCATGCATGAAAATAGAAGTATGTTCATGCACCAAACAAACACACACACACACACACACACGCACCGCACGCGCGCTCGCGCACACACACACACACACGCACGCACACACAAACACACGCACACACACATGCATATCAATGAATAGTACTCTTACACTCCTCATGAACTATAAAAAAAACACCTCAGCTAAGTTTGATATTAACTCACCTTCTTGATATCTGACAATTTTGCAGGGAAATCCACACCTGTAAAGTCGAGATCTTGCGCATAGGGAGCATACTGGCTGACACGCTCAGTATGTAGCTCTACTGGATGCAGCGCTGAAAGTAGGGCCCACCTTCAAATAGCAATGCACGCACACACACACACACACACGCACACATGCATACACGTGCGCATGCACACACATATACACATACACACACACACACACACACACACACACACACACACACACACACACGTAGGTGTACAAGCATGAGTAGTTACAGTAAGTCTGATGTAGTACTTGGACTTGACCATCATCACAACTACATACATTACGAAGAAACTCTTCTGGTCACAATTGCATTGGGAAGAACAGCTCGTACTCGGATTTATCATGTACACCAGGTAGTGATCACGTGTTTACATATTCCTACTCGTACTCACTTTAGACACTGCTCATCATCATTTCTCACGTTTACAATGGCCTTCTTCAACTGGAGATAGCGTGGTAGAGGGAAGTAGGAACTACCTCGAAGTGGGCTGTATTTAGCCAAGTCGACAAACATCCTGATAACTCCATCTATCACCCACCCAGATCCCTCATTCACCCACGTATCGAGCTGTAAGAATAACAGGATAAGAAAAAAGAAAAAGACATACGAACAACGATCCACCAGAAAATATGTCGAGCACACTGCGAGAACTGATTCCGAACAATCGCTCTCTCTCTCTCCGTCTCTCTCTCTCGCATAGTACATCAGCATCCATAGAGTGGAGAGCACAAGCATGCACACTGTTATTATTCACACTCAGCTCAAGTCGAGAAACAGCTGGAAACAAACAACCCATAATGTTTTTGTTCACTGCAAACTATCAACAGCATGCAAGATACCATGCACACGCATACAGAACTAGAAGTAATTTTTGAATTTCTTTTGAATTTTATTTCTCTCTTTCTTTCTTTTTGCGGATCGTTCGATGAGTAACATTACGTAATTACGTGTCGCCCGTCGGCGTGACGGTGACGTCGCGATCTCCCATGCGCAAACATATCGAAACCAAAAACAACGGTGAAAGAAAAACAACAGCTCCAGAACGAATGCCCATTTTGGCTCTGCGTACGACATACAAGCCAGCCGGTTGTACAAACAACTACAACTAGAACGGATACGGTCTGTGTGTGTGTGTGTGGGTGATCCTTTCTTCTTCATCATAGATTATGCATATATGACAATCCGGTATCTCCGGTATAGACGGTACCGTACTCACTCGTCTTTCGATGTCGGCATAGGACGAGTCTAGCGCATCACGAATCTCGTGAGTGTTCAGCACGGTTATCGTCGTGTTTCTGAGATACGGCTGTGCATGTTTAACACCTTCTTCGCCCTTGTCTAGTTTCAGCAGAATCTGTACGGTCAGACCCAATTTGAATTGCATCGTGTCCAACTCTTGCTCGAGCAGAGAGACAAGCGTCGCATCCATGTGGCTGAAGAATTGGGAAAGATATTTCCAGTCATCATTAGGTCTATACACTAAAGACTTGATACTGCTGCTACGATGCAGTTCAATGAAAGTTGGGGGTCTCCTCTTAGCTGGAGGTCCCCCGGGCTCATAGTCAGGCTCCATGATTCATATGAGCGCTGACGAGCGTGTGGTTCATATTAAGTAGTGTAACTGTAGACTCGTAAAGGTATGGCTTGTGGTGGAGACGTGTATCAACTTGTCTCAATACGTTTCAACATGCCATCAAGGCTATGGACTCTTGATGTCATGAGAGTTAGATCAAGTCGTCAGTTTATGGAGAGGGACTGGCGCCGATCCTCTGGGAAGAGATAGTGCACTATGTGCATGGTACAATAGTTCAACAGCGGCTGATGAACTCAATGTATGGTAAGAGTTAGTGCACTATGTGCATAGTGCAATAGTTCAACAGCGGCTGATGAACTCACGAAGAATGTAGCTGCTTCTCGCTGATTGGTGGAGAAGAAATGATCACCGCATGGAAGAAATAGGGCTATGTATAGTGCAATACTTCAGAACAGCATAGTCATTCTATTACAGTTATTACGAGAGTTGTTACAGTGTTTTTCCCATATTTCTCATTATGCTTCAGTGTTATATTGTTCATACCATGCCTGTGGGCGATGGGAAACTGGCCACAACACTGTCGAGGGCAAGTGATGATGCTCGTAGACGGATTCTGGAGCGTGCCGAGCAAATTAGAACGGCACAATTGCTGAGTGCGAGTGAGGCGGAGGAGATGTTCTGCGGTTTGAGCAGAGGCGTATTGGAGTTAGAGGACAGGAGCGCGTACGTCCCGCGTGTCAGTCTAGGTTCCGGCAGGTTTGCGCAGTTCGATGAGAGATGGACCTTCATGATTTTAGTATCGCAACCTGCCGGAGCCAGGGAATGGCGGGCGTATGCGCTTCATGGCTCTTTGGAGCAACGGATTAGAGAAGTAATGGATGAAGATGGAAGCGGGACACTATGTTCCCCAATCTACTATGTGGAGATGGCAGCAAGGTTGAGCAACTCGAAGTACTGTCTGAGTGATAGTCAGAAATGTAGCACGGCAATCATGGCACCATCAGGGTGCCTGATAGTGAAGAAACCCTGATGGTGCAAACCATACAAGTCAGAGAAGATGGCACAACGGTGAGCGACATGACCAGCGTGCAGGTGGAGAGCACTGAGCTTCTGGAGGCTCCACAGGATACGGAAGATGTTCGCGTTGATTTCTTTGTGGAGCCTTCAGGAGAACCACTTGCACGCTGGTATCCGGTTCTGGAACCGGAAGAAGATGATGTCGAAGAAGAAGAAGAAATGTAACAAGAAGAAGGATACGAAACAGAGTAAGACTATATGATAGAAATTGTTTTTTTCTTCTTCTTCTTCATCATCTTCACTCACCGTTGTACCATCTTCTCGAACATGTATGCCGTGCTACATTTCTTGCTTACACTCAGACAGTACAGTCGTTTTCCTTGCTGTTATTCTCCACATAGTAGATCACTTCCTTGTTCATCCATTATTTCTCCAATCCGTTTCCCTACCTCCAACACGCCTCTGTTTATTCCGCATCTCTTCTGCCTCATTTGCACTCAGCAATCGTGTCGTTCTAAACGACACGCTCCAGAATCCGTCTACGTGCATCATCACTTGTTCTCGATAGTCTGGACACCAGTTTCCTATCGTCCACTTTTTTTTTTTTTTTCTTTTTTAAATTTACATTTGTGTGTGTGTGTGTGTGTGTGTGTGTGTGTGTGTGTGTGTGCGATTTCTCTCTTCTTGTCGTTGTCTCCCGCTTCTGGGAGCGGCGTGACCCGATAGGGTAGCTGTATATAGTAGTAGTAGTGTGTGTGTGTATGTGCATGTGTGTGCATTTGTGTGTTTGTACATATTATGTATGTTGTTTTTATTCGAGTTTGTGCTGAAGAGAATAGTAATATAAAACCTAAGAACAAAGGCATACAAAGAGAGAGAGAGACACACACACACACATACGAATACGGATGTGGTTTATTGGGATATACAGATACCACGATGTTTGGTGTTGTTATAGGGAGATATCA